GCGCAGGCTCCAGATGCGCAGGCTCAGTAGTTGTGGCTCACGGGCCTAGTTGCTCCGCGGCACGTGGGATCTTCCCAGACCAGGGCTCGAACCCATGTCCCCTGCATTGGCAGGCAGATTCTCAACCCCTGCGCCACCAGGGAAGCCCGCATTTAGTTTTTATTTTATTTTATTTATTTTTTGGCCATGCTGTGTGACTTGCGAGATCTTAGTTCTCCAGCCAGGGGTAGAACCCGCACTCTTGTCAGTGAAAGGGTGGAGTCCTAACCACTGGATCACCAGGGAATTCTGCATTTAGTTTTAATGTCTCTTTAGAATCTTTTAATCTGGAGCAGTTCTTTAGACATTTTTTTATCTTTCAGTGTCCTTGTTGTGTCTTGAAACTTGTCATACCACAGGCCAGTTATTTTTTAGATTGTTCCTGAATTTAAGTTTGTCTGATTATTTCCTTGTGATTAGAGTCCAGTTATCTGTCTTTGGCAGATGTGTAGTTGTAAGTGATATTAATTAATTAATTAATTTAATTTTTTTCCTCCTTATATTTTTTTTTCCTTCTACTTTGATTTTAGTCTCTTGGTCTGACCTTAACATATCTGACATCTTAATTTTCAGCCTTCCTTCTTTCCCAGTATAAATATTGAGGGCTTTCCCCTCCCCCCCAGTTATATTCTAGAAGTCTTGATATGTAATGTTTTTATTATTAAGTAGTTCTGAATATTTTCTAATTACCTTATTACTTTCTTCTTCAAAATTATTGTCAGAGTTCAGAGCTTATGGGCTTTCCTCTGGTCTTTCTGTTCTTGATTTCTAATTATATTAATTGCATAGTACTCATAGAATTTTATTTTTGTGTTCCCAATACTTTGAATTTTGTTGGAGGTAGTTTTATGCCTTGCATATTATAAAAATTTGTAGAGGTTCAGTGTGTGTTTGAAAATTAATTCTTCAACTCTTAGGTGGAGTGTTACATGTATGCCACTCAATACACTAAAAAAATTGGTTTTTGGTCTGCTTGAGCTATGAGTTACTGAGAGAGAGAGTAAAATCTCCCTTTAGGAAGGTGAGTTTGTTTCTTCTTTTATGTCTGTCAATTTGGCTTTACACATTTGGAGGTTATGTTGTTGGGTGTATACATGTTTAGACTTATTGTGTCCTGGTTAATTTCAGCTGGGTTTTTTTGTTTTTTTTAATCATTATGTATGACTCCTTTTAATTTCTATTCCACTAATGCCTCCCCACCCAATACCTCTTTCATCTAATATCAGTATGGCTATATTGATTTTTTGGTGGGTGAGAGCCGAGGGTTAACATTAGCCTTTATTTACTTTTTTTGAAATTTTACGTAAATTCAGGTAAGAACCTACTAAAACAGAAGAGAAAACTCCACAGAATTTTAGAAAGGATAAACAAGTCTAAATAATGTATATTTGGAAAAATAGTTGTAAAATATGCAAACTTTCCAGCAATATTAGTAAAGAAAAATAATGAAAATAGACCTGAATATATAATATTAGTAATTAAAAAGGGATCAAACCTGTTCATGTAGTAGAGTTTTATAAAGAAAAGAATATTATGTCACCCTATCCCAATAAATTTGAAAATTTCAATGCAATATATAATTTCTTAGAAAAACATAATTAATACAGTTGTCACAGGTAGAAATAGAAAAATGAAAATGACAGTGTGAAAGAAGTGAAATATTAAAAATCCAACAAAATGACACGTGCAAGATGTTTCACTGGCAAGTTTTAACAGACCTTATAGTCATAGTCTCCTTTATTGTCTTCTAAAAGGTTTGTAGTTTTGTTTTTCACATTGAGATCTTTGAAAAACCTGGAATTATTTTATTTTAGAGAAAAGAAAAGGAGAGGAAGCTACGCAACATAGTTAATGAGGTTGGTTTATTATTGGTACCAAACCAGATGAAGATAGTACAGAAAAAATATAATTGTAAACCAGAATTGTTTATAAACACAAATGTAAGATTCCTAAGTAAAATCAAAGCAAAGCAATTTCATCTATGTATTAAAAAATTACGTTATAACCAAGTAACGTTTATCTCAAGGTATACAAAGATGTATCAGCTTCTAAAATCTTTTTAAGTAAAATGTCATGTTAAGAGAATGAAAAAGAAAACCAAATCTTGTCCACAGAGGTTGTAATTAACAGTCCTACCAGTTATGTGTGAGAATACCTGTTATTCGTACTCCGGCAAACACTTGGTGGTTTCAGGTTTTTTATTTTTGGCATATTTGGTTGTTAAATAATAGAATATTAGCAGTAAGTTTATTTTCATTTCTTGTAATGTGAGCATAATTTTTTGGGTGTAAGTCTGTTTTAAACACTGAAAATTTAAAATGGGAGAGTAACACTTATTGCATAATTTGTTTACTTGAGGACAGGGACTATTTTATTTATCTTCGTACTTCTAACATCTTATAAAATGCTTGGCATATAGCGGGTATTCAAAGTTACTTTTCGAGTGAATTGAATAAATATTTAGTAAACTATGAGCCTTCTGAAGAAATTTGTGACTTAACTCATTTTTGAATGTCTGAAAATAGAATAATTTTGCTATGTCAAAGAAATGGGATTTTTACTAGCAGGTTCCAGGAAGTCAAGAATGGACAGGATTATTCTTCTAGTTTACGTTAATACTACAGGCTCCCATAAAGCGTGGATAGCTCATAAAATCCTTAATCCTAATTATGCACGATTTAACAGTATTCATTTGCTTGGTGCTTTCAGGGTGTATACTATTGCATGGAAAGATAACATCATTTATATTTTGACATATTGTTATCCTTTGTACCTTGCTAAAAGATTGTTTCAACAATCATTTGCTTACCTGAATTGTATTTCCGTTACTCTAGTTTTAAAAAAGTTTCTTTCCCTGCTTTACGGTAATGTTTTAGAGGATTGAAATACCTAGATTTCTAACCTTTTAGATAAGTAGGATGTTACCCAGAGGAAGGTATACACAGAATTATTCTTTAAGAATAAACATAGTTGTCTGTGATGAAATGCTGTTTGGATTTAGGGTCAGAACGAGACAAAGATATAGAACATACCGTCTATTTGGATTAAGGTATTTGGAAATCTTGAGGGGGTCAGGGTAATAAACAGTGAAGTAAAAGAAATAAAGAACTGTTAAGTGTAATGTTGTAGGCTGCTTTGTGATATTTTCCAGCTCTAGCTAGCAACTAGCCTAGCACTCTTCTCACACTGGCTGGCTCCACATCTTTATTTTTAATTTACACATTTCTATGTGTACTGTTCTTAACCAAGTATTTCTGATATGCTTGTGTAGAAGCTGGGAAAGGGAGGGACACTAGTCTCAAGATGATTTCACTCTTCCTTGCCATTCCCTTATAACCCATCTATACCTTTGTAAATAGTCTATTTGTAAATAAGCCTTCCTCAGATTGGGATAATTTATTTCCTGTTAGGACCCTGACTGATTCCCAGTTGCCACAGTCTCACCGTTTGTCCAGTCCAGATTGTTCAAAACCAAGATATCTTGGTCATTTTATCAAAATGTTCACTTCCTGGCTGCCATGGTTTTACATCTTCTGTCTCTTACAGTATGAGATCCTTTATACCTTTATTCAAATTTGATCTGTTTCTTTGATCATATTTTCTGTTGTGTGAATTCCAAATAGAGATTCAATCTCTATTTCCTTTCCTTATAATCTAAAACACCAATACAGAAATCTCTAGTAGACTGGGTTTTGCAATGTGGAATACCCCTCTTTCCTAAAGTATCGGTAGTTAGGGCTAAATACATTTAGACCAAAGCAAGTGGTAAGGCCTGCTGTGTCTCTTTCCCTTTCTAATGCTCAAATACATACCTTTGATCTTCCACACTCTCGTGCATGGTAGGAAAGAGAAGAGAGCTGTACCCGTATACAGTGACTATTTAATTGTATTAACTCCTTTTTGTGTGAGAATAAGGAGGGACATGAGGGGAGGAAAGGAGACAGGTCTGTATTTCTCTTAAGGCAGCAGAACATGCAGTTGGTTTTATAATTTTTTTAAAAAATGTCAATATGTTCCCTATAATTAATAGAATAATGTCTAAGTTCCTTGCATGGCATCCAAGGCCACTTCCATTTTCCATTTTCTAGCCCTGATTTCTTTGTATTTCTTCTTATAATTCTATAACAACAGTGGATTATTTACCATTATCACCCAAGTTCACTTTGTCTCTCTTCGTTTGCTTATATTGCTCCCTCTGTTGGGAATATTTATAGTACATTGCAAACAGGCAAATTAGCAAAATTCTACTTAGTCCTCAAGGTCCAGATCCAATGTTAGTTCCTCTGTGAAACATTAGTGTTCTTACGAGAGAATTAGGGTTCCATTTTCACTGATCCTGAAGCACTTTGTATTTATCTCTATTAGAAACTTTTATCACATTACTGTGTTATATGTGTGTACATACTGTATCTATTTCTGAAGACTGAGAAGTTCTTGAATGAAGGTACCATATTGTAATTATATTTGTTTTAAGCTCCAGTAATTGCCACCATACTTTGTATAATGTCAGCTCTTGCTAAAGGCATGTTAAAATGATCAATAAATGAATGAGTGTGACAAATATTAATTTACTTGGTAGGGATTGCTGAATTTCTCTCTGGTGCCAAGAAATTTGCTTTTACTTCTTGGACCTTTGTCCTAAAATATGTATCTAGCATTGAGTTAGAATACACGGAATGTTTAAAATGAGAATAAATTGGTCTGATTTGTACATCACTAGTACTTTGCATTATTTGGTGTTTAAAAAAATGTTTCTCACCCAAAATATAATTCATATATAAGAAATAAACATCATATGAAAATTAAATCTATTCTCAATATAGTTTGATGAGACTATTAAATACTTTGGCGTAATCCTTAATCCTTATTTTCATTTTTATTGTTTAAGTAAGAAATATCCTTATTTATATCTGATTTGTATCACAGTTCATTAAGTAATTGATGTTGCCTTTTTGTTTCAGCTAAACCATTTACTTCTAAAGTGAAACAGATGCGATTACATAGAGAAGACTTTGAAATATTAAAGGTGATTGGTCGAGGGGCTTTTGGAGAGGTAAGAGAGAAAGATTTTATAGAAGATCTGATAATTGTTTTGCAAGCTATTTTATACAGTCTGTGAGAGAATTTAACTGAAATATTATTTACTTGGTGGTGTAATTGATATCATTGATCAGAAATCATTAAACTTCTGAATGAAGTCTTTCTACATGGAATTTTTTTCCAAGATATTTCTGTTTTTCATATGTCATTGAAGTTTGAGTATGTTTCTGTACTCTCTTCTGTTCCATTGGTCTGTTTGTCTCTCACTGCCTTAAATTACTTTAGTTTAAGAAGTCTTGATATCTGGTAGTGTGTACACTCTAACTTCCTCCCTCTTCTCCTCTGTTCTTGGCCCTTTATATTTTCATATAATTTTAGAATAAGTGTTTCAGTTTTTACCTACTCTTAAAAATCCACATCCACACCCAGCACCCACACATCTGCTGGAATTTTGATTAGGATTGCCCTGAAACTAGAGATTACTTTGTAGATAATTGACATCTTAACAATATTGAGTCAGCCATCCATGAACATGGTATATGCCTCCATTTATTTAGGGTTTTATAAATTTAACACACTAATTATTTGTAGTTTCCATTCAGTAGAGTGGATTTATACATCTTTCAGCAGATTTATTCCTAGGTATGTGATATTCTTTATGTTATTTTAATTAGAATTATTGGTTAAGTTTCATTTTCTAATTGTTTTTGCTAGTAGTTAGACACAGTTGAATTCTGTTTATTGACCTCATACCCAGCAACCTCGCTAATTTTACTTTTAAAATCATGAATTGTGTTGGATTTTAATAAAATGCTTTATCAGCATCTTTTGAGACACTCAGGCTTTTCTCCTTTACTCTGTTAACGTGTTGAGTTACACTGGTTTATTTTCAATGTGAAACTAACCTTGCATTTCTAAAATAAGCCAACTTTGTTGGGATGTATTATCCTTTTAATTTACCTTTGTACTCAGTTTGCTATTTGTGTGTGTTGTGTGTGTTTTCGATCTTTGAGAGAAATTGGCCTGTAATTTTCCTACTTATCACATCCTGATCAGATTTTGGTATCTTGGTTATTCTGGCCTCATAAAAAGAGGGAGGTATTTCCTTTTTTACTGTTCTTTAGAGGAGTTTGAGAAGATTGTTATTATTTTTTTCTTATATGCTTAGAAGATTTCACTGGTGAAGCCATTTGAGCCTGGAGGTTCCTAGAGAGAGAGTTTTAAATTATATAATTAATTTTTTAAATTGAAATTGAACTATTTGGATATTTTGTATAGATGTGTCAGTTTTGCTAGGTTCATCCATGTCATCTGATTTTTCATATTTATTACTATATTGGCCGTTTGCACTTCTCATTTTTTTCATTTGTTATACTTAGCGGTTTATCAATTCTGTTATTTTTTCAATGAATTAACTTTTGCCCTTTGTATTTTTCTATGGTAGATTTGTTTTCTGTTTCATTAATTTCTGCTTTTATCTTTTAATGTTCTTTTCTCCCTTTGGTTTCAACTTGCTGTTCTTTTTCTAACTTTTTGAGTTAGATGCTCAGAGCATTGATTTCTAGATCTTTTCAGATGTGCTATACTTTTTCCTCTAAGCAGCTTTAGCTATAGCAAAGTTTTGATATGTCATATTTTCATTATAGAGTTCCTCAAAATACAATGTGATTTCCAATGTGATTTTAAATTTCTGTTATGGTTTTTTTGATCTATGATTTTAGAAGTTTATCGCTCCATCTTTAAGTATTTGGAGGGTTTTTAGTTATATTTCTGTTTTTGAGTTATAATGTAATTCCAGAGCAGTCAGAGAATATACATTGTCTGATTTCAAGTCTTTGAAATTTGCTGTGCAGTGTTCTGTAAATATCAGTTAGGTAAAAGACATTAATCTTATTTAAATCCTCCATATCCTTAACTGTTCTCTCTGTGTGATATTTCATTTCCTGAGAGAGGATTTGCTTATTTCTTTCTTATTTTTTTCAGTTTTCACTGATAACAAATATCAAGTTATTATATTTCCCTAGTGATTAACTCTTTTATCATGATGTAATGATCCTTGTTATCTCTAAGTAATGCTTTTTGAGTTAAACTTTACTTAATCTGATGTTAGTAGAATGATTCTAGCTCTTTTTATTAGTCTTCTGCATTAAATATCTTGCTCCACCCTGTTAGTTTCAGCTATTACTTTATACGTTTAGTGTTAAGTAGAATATAGTTTTTATTTTTTGATCTAGTCTGATAATGTCTTATCTTTAATTGGAGTGTAGTCAGTTGACATTTAATGTAATTACATTACATATTACTATTTGTTTTCTGTTTGTCTTGTCCATTCTGTACTATGTTTCTCTCAATTCTTGGATTAACTGAATATTTTAAATTATTCTTTCCCCCTTCTATTCATTTCTGAGTTGTACCTTCTTTTATTGGTTTCCCTAGAGATTGCCACTTGTATTCTTGGTAAATTTGTATTTTGCCAGTTCCCATTTACCCAAATTTACCTTTCATTGTCATTAGCTCTACATATATTAGAAACCCCAAAAGATACGATTATAGTGTCCCTATTCATTTTAGCTTTACCCATGTATTTACATTTTTTCTTACTCTTCACATTCACATACTTATTTATATTCATATACTTGTCTTTGATATAATTTTCCTTTTGACTTAAAAATTCCCTTTAGTATTTTGCCAAGTCTGCTGAGATAAATTATCTGCATTTTTTGTCTGAAAATACATTTATTTTGAGGTCTTAAAAAAATTGTGTTATATACACACATAGCTTAATGGATTTGTACATTTGCATGAACTTCTGTAACTATTATGCAGATCAAGATAGGCTCCCATTGCCCCCTCTATGTGGGTAACCACCTTCTCATTAACCATCTATTCTGACTTCTATAATTATAGATTTATTTTGCCTGTTTTTGAATGCTATATTAGTGGAATTATATAATATATATTCTTTTGTTTCTGTCTTATTTTGCTCAATATTATGCTTGTGTGATTCATTTTTGTTTTTTATTGGTTCAAAGTATTCCTCTATATGAATATACCACAAGTATTTTATCCATACTAGTGTTGGTAGGTATTCAAGTTTATAGTTTTTGGCCACTGTTAATAATGTTGTTATGAACATTCATGTACATGTCTTTTGGGAGGTAGAAGCACTCATCTGTGTTTAATATAACCCTAGTGGAATTTCTGGGTTGCATGTTAGGCATATTTAGTCTTAGTTGGTAGTGCCAAATAATATCCCAATTGGTTGTCAATTTGTACTCCGACCAACAGTGTATTAAGGTCCCAGTTGCTTCAGAACCTCACCAACACTTGCATCATTTTTTAAACTTTGGACATTTTTTGGTGGATGAGTAGTGGTATTGGATTGTGATTTCATTTTACATTTCCTAATAACTCTTAAAGTTGAGCCCATTTTCATATTACTTCATATAACTTGGATATCCTTTTTCATAAGTGCACATTTTGGGATTGGGGGAGTGGGAGCAGGTGGGTGGGTTGTCTGACTTACTGGTATATTCTGGATACAAGTCCTTTGTCGGAAGTGCGTGTGTGTGTGTGTGTGTGTGTGTGTGTGTGTGTATTAAACAAAATGTCTTCCTGTGTGTGGCTTGGCTTTTCCCTCTGTATAGATCTTTTATGGAAGAGAAGATCTTAGTTTTGGTGAAGTACATTTAATTAAGCTTTTCTTTATGATTAGTGCTTTTTTGTGTTCGTTAAAAAAGTTATTTTCTACCCTGAAGGTCATGAAGATATTTTCCTCTGTTATCTTATGTAATCTATAAAAAAAATATCTTTTTCATTTAGGTCTGTGATCTGTCTGGTATTATTTTGTGTTTTGTGAGGTATAGGTCAAGGTTCATTTTATTCTTTGTGGGTTTCTCAGCATCATTTATTTAAAGACTACTTTTTCTACATTTGATTGCAAAGGAACTTCCATTGTGAATCAGCTGACCCTATATGTGTTACTTTTATTAATTTTTAATAGTTTTTGTAGAATTCTTGTTCATGTTTCATTAAATTTATTTATCAGTCTTTGATGTTTGTTGATGAGCCTGTAAATGATATTTTTAGATTTCATTTTGTAACCATGTTGCTAGACTAGAAATACAATTAATTTTTGTGTAGTGATTTTGTATGTAAGCATCTTGATATATTAACTTATTAATTCTAGTTTATAAATTTAAAAGATTTTTCATGTAAACAGTCATACCATTTCCAAATAATGACAGCTTTTTTTCTTTCTTTTGTTATACTTGTTATTTCTTTTTCCTATATTATTACAATAGAGAGTTTCTTCCTTAAAATATTAAATTCAGTTGTTGAAAATCAATTTTTTTCTGGTTTGTGATTTCAGGGGTAAGTATGAAGTTTGCAACAGCTTTTTTAAAAAAAATTGTTACTCTTTTTTTAGGTTAAGGAAGTTTTCCTTTTAGTCCTAGTCTGTTGAGAGCTTTTATCATGCATTAGAGTTAACTTTTATTAAAAGCTTTTTTTAAATATCTATTTTGATGATATGATTTGACCTCTGTATTTAGTTAATGTGGAAATAATATTGATTAATTTTTAAATATACCAATATTGGATTACTATATAAATCCAGTTGTTCCTTATGTATTCTTTTAGTATATTGTTGGTTTCGATTTGCTAATATTTTGTTTACCATTTTTTTTGTTACGTGCATGAAAAAGATTGAACTTTATTTTACCTATCTTTTAATTTCCTTATATTTTTAAAATGTTATGCTTAGCTCATAAGACAATTTGGGAAGTATTTGCGCTTTCTCAATTTTCTGAGTTTGAGAATATTATTATTTCCTTAAATGTTTGGAAAAATTCTCTGGTGAGTCCATCTAGACTAGGAGTGCAATTTTTATTTGGTTTGTTTACATCTTTTGAGGTAAATTGTATATATGTTGAAATACACCAATTGTTTATGTACAGTTCCATGAGTTTTGACAAATGGATTCACCCTTATCAAGATTCCCATAACGTCCAT